TTCTAAACCCAAACCTATATTCATTCAGCTAGTATTTCTACTCATAGAGTAGATCCTATACTACATCCCTCTTCCTTACAACTGAAGGGGTGTACATTTCTAGCTGATACCTATGATAGGCAACTTACATAAGTGGTCAGTCTTCACTATAGGCTAGCCACACACTGCTCGGAAGCTTCTAACTTACCAACAAGGAAACCACTGAGGAGGCTGTGGCTTTAGTCTGCCAAAAACCTATCTAAAAGGACAGACCATGACCACATCCTAATCAAACAATTCAACATATAATTATTCGTTAGCTATCCTAGCTAATCAGGTAACCTATCTAAAGCACTGACACTTTATTTCACCTGGAACCCTCATTATCTAGGTAAGCTACCTAAATCCTAACTCCTTAAATCCTAAACCATATCTTGGCTGAATGTCCCTAACAAATCTTTAAACATCACTACTAGAACTTCCTAACTGCATCACTAAACTATCTTCAACTCGCACGCTGCCGCGACGACGACATAGGCTTGAGCAACCATCGGGCGATCACTGGGTAGCATCAACATTGATCTCCCAGCTGCCTTAGTCCTCATCCTGCAGCTATCCACGTTCCATCAGCTTTTCTCACTTTCTTTAAACAAACCAAAACAAACACACAAATTACCCTAACAACAACATTTCCTATCACACATATGATATAGCGATATATCATATGGAGGATTCCTAATAATTCAACAAGTATATTTTCCTTGAATGCAGACAATTCTTGTTCATCTGGGAGAGTGACCACGAACTATGCACACACACAGGACAAAAAGAAAAAAAAAGTAAGTTATATCTATCCAAGTAGGTAGTCCATCTTCTCCTCCCATCCTTTTAAGTCTTCATTCGCCGGAAAATAACAACTTCCATCAAAATATTCGTCACAATGTCATCATGGCTCCATATGAAAAACAAACAAACCCTTAAGAATAAAATTCAAGCAATTACCTACTAGAAACTGAAAAATCACTAAACTATCTACTATAGAACCTTTTCATTCTATTCACATGCACTAGATTCTGCCTACCCGATCTATTCCTATTTACACCTATTCTTCTCACAATATAATTAACTCTACTCAACCGACCTACTACCCTATACGGCCCTTTAAACAATGTAGCTAATTTTACACTTCTGTTGGAAACTATCCTGTAATGAATTATCAATATTAAATTCTATTTTTTTTTATACTCGAGACATTAAACATGTGGTGACAATTCGCATCTAACAAATTAACAAAATATAAAATATTCGGACTTGTTTAATGCAAAGTTTTTATGACTTTTTGAAACTGGCTCGATAGAACAACAATTCCTTTTCCTTGAGATGATATCAGAGACAGAATTGAAAGGAATTTCAACACTATTCTTTAAAGTTATCTTCGAGGCTGCAAAATCGATTACCGCACTATTTACGGTCAGGAAGTCCTGTCCCAAAATAAGGAGCTCATCACCATCATCTACAACAAGCAGCTTTGATAGATATTTGTTTCCCTGTATTACCAACGAAACTTTGGTGGACGCCTGCACTATTATCCGCGTTCCACCAACTGTACGCAAAGGAAAATTCGACGTTTTTTCAATCATAGGCCTCGCAATCTATATCATTTATACAAATGGTTATAAAGGGCACTCTAACTACATCACAAATATCTACTATACACAATTCTTGTTCCAAGCACGCCGGTTTCGCATTCCATGTCCGACCATCCCGGCTATCTGTCGGCGTGGCGGTGCGTTTGGGTGATCGCCTCTTGAATGAGCTGTTGCACCTTGATAAAATCGACGTTGGGGATAACCCGTCGAAGAACCACTTCCTAGTGCTTGCGAATATACTTGCCGAAGTCTCAAGTTGTACCTTCCGCGTGGCGTATTTCGCTGCACGTCAAACGGAACGACGGCCGTGACTGGAGTTTGTGGCGTTTGATAATCTGAGTAAGCAGTGATGGATCCACCAACGGGTGAGGGATCTCCCTGTGCAAGACTGAGAATATTCCTTCGAAATACATACCGGTAATTCGATACCGTGTTGATTTAAGTTTGATTGTCGATTAAATACATCTTCCATCTGTATAATCGTTTTTCTCAACTCGTCTTTAGACGCGAACAACTAGCTAGCAAGCACCCACTGATACTTGGGAGCTTAACATTTTAGGTAATGTTTTATAAATTTCACATCGTCCAGTATCTTTGCTTTCGTCGCCAAGCTATTCAGATTATAAAAATAGTTCAGGAGCGGCTCATTAGGCATCTGCCGCCTATAGTAAAACTCTTGAACATAATCGACCTGCGAGGGGAACTGCTCTCTTAACTTTCTCTTTTAACTTAACAACGATATCGTAGGTGGCATATGAAGAAAAATGGATTTTATACCACTGCAAGACTGGCCCTTCCGGATACGTCGCAATTACATATCTTTTTTGCCCATCCAACCAGTTATTTATCACGCTAATTGCCTCAAACTGGCCCAGAAACTCCTCCACATCATTTAGGCCTGAAAATTTCTGTACACGGCATACGATTCATTGTATAGTGTTTTACTTTGCCCCTTTTCACTACGAAGCGCACAAAGACACAATAGCAAATTCACACACAAAAATAGAATATAAATTACGACCTCATATGCTTGTTCCTCCTTTCTTCTGAGATTTTTCATAAATTCATATAAATTTTTTTCACAATTGGAATTTTCTTCATTGGAATTTTTCCACCACATATATATTGCGCTTATAGAATGCACCTCCACCATTTATAGAAGACATAACTCAGATTGCTTTGCATAGAGGTACTTTCATAAGAAAACTCTATAAATATAATTGTATCGTATATTCAATTTGGAATCTAGTTTCGAATTGCCAAGATCTTCTTTTTCTCTTATTTTTTTAGAATACATTCCCAAACCTACATTCATTCAGTCAGTATTTCGACGACACCCGTCAATTGTTTTTGAGCGCAGTTGGCACAGTAATGATTTGGCAGAATAGTTTTCAAACAAATTAAATGACATTTTGTCTCTATTTCTGGTTATTTATTTTATTTATTTATTTAAAGAAACATACAGCTTACATATTACATAAATGTTTTGTTTACCTATTAAATATTAAATTTAGCCAAATTTTGTTTCCAATGATAGATAATTCACAAAGTGAAGGCCGAAAGCACTTAATCTACTACACAATGACAAAACTCTGTAAACAACTAACCAAATGACAAAGCTCTAAACAAGTTTTAAAAAATTGAGACTATTATTGCAGAAAAGAAATAATTACTTAATTTATCAACCAAAATCTACTTTTTTAACATTTGACAAAAACAATTTAGTTTACAGGTAAATATATCGATGTGGTGGTAACGATCATTATAAGATTTACTTGCTCTGATTAGAAACCTATTCCCAGCGTAGTTAGTACTGCAAATAGGTACGAAAAACAATGTTGTGTTGGAGCGAGCATTAACCCTAGGACATTTGAATGAAATACGACTCATTAAGAAAGGAGAATCAACGATGCCATTTATAATCTTAAACAGAAACATTTGATCTCTGTGTTCGCGTCTTAATTCTAACGACTGAAACTGGGGCATAGCGCCCTTAAACCTATATCTTAGTCTTCTTAAAAACTTATTCTGAATACTTTCTACCTGGTCTATATGCTTGGCATAATGAGGGTTCCATGCTGTCGAAGCATATTCTAAATGACTTCGGACCAGGGAGTTATACAATATAATATATGTATTGACATTCTTGAAGTCTTTGCACTGTCGAAAAACAAAACCCAGCATTTTATAAGCCTTGGCTGCAGCCTGATCAATATGCGAAGCAAAGTTCAGTTCACTATCGAGGCATACACCCAGGTCTCTCACCTCGGTCACTCTGTCTATTGTGGTGTTATTAAATTTATAATCATAACTAATGGGTCTTTTCTTGCGAGAAAAGGTAATTGAGTGACATATACTCGATGTATACAACACTGCTATGATATGTATAATAATAATCATAATAATATGCCACACCAATTATCTCGCCTCAAATTTAACAATTGTTCTGTTCTATAATTAGCAATTCAGAAAAGTTCATTATCCAAAATAATCCTATCAGAAATTGAACCTGAAACCTCCTCATTCAGCACCCGCAGCACAAACCGTTGGGCCACCGTGGTCAATTTACATTGCCGCGTGTTTTTTCATGGCAGTAACCATAGCATTTTATTTTTTATAATATCAAATGCCGGGACGAACAAGTCGTGCGCCGGGTGGTAAGCGACACGCTTATCTATAAGACTCAACTGTCACTGAAAGAGCCATAGAGGTTGAGCGCAGAGAGAAGCACTATCTCTGTAAACTAATTGAATATGCATATTTGTTGTATTCTCCGCAAAGAGTGAGGCAAAAATATTCGCCTTCTCTTCCGCAGTATGGGCCAGCGAGCCGTCCGGCCTCAGCAGAGGTGATAAAGATGGGCTTTGTTATTGCAAGGTTTTTTTTATAAAAATGTAAGTGCGCATTTGACCTCCACCTCAACTGATGGAAAGTGACAATGAGGTCGACGATGTAGCATGCACACCTAAATAATGCCTATTCTCTCTCGCCTTGGCAATTAAATGCCCAAGATATAGCGTTCGGGGAATTCCACCCCATTGCCGTTCGCCATATAAATGTGGAAGCGTAACGATTCGCGAGAATCTTTGGAATATCCACAACATCGGGGTGGATCCTAAGCCTACGCCTAGTCGGGGGATTAGGCGAAGGCTTGGGCACCGGGGAGTGATGGAAAGGTGAAGGCGGAATTAAGTCGTGTAATTCCATCGAACACTCTCCGTGATATGTCCTGTAAAATACCGATAAGCAGGCAACTTTAGCTTCGCGTCCACTAATTCCGAGTCACCAATAAGCCTCTGGCACGTTGTCACGGTTTTATTTGTTTGACACTGATTTTATATGTTTTCAAATAAATACGCAAATATTGCTAACCTGGAATATCTCAACGTCGAGGAAGGCCCAGTCGCCTCGCGTCATACCCAAGGAGTGAGCTGCTAGCAGGAACTCGCGGACGAGCGGTCCTCGAACACTGAGAATCACCACTGAAAACAAAGGCAGTTGTTTACTTATATAAAAAGTGCCTAAGCACCATTGACTTACAATTATATGGACGTCGGGTCCGCGCTAAAAAGTGTCCGAACTTATAGGGCGTTAAATTCGTATACAGAGCGTCATTCACACTCTAGTCTTCGTTTGTTCGACTGACAGCGAAGCAAGCAAATTAGACAGTACTGCGATGACATTACAATTTAAATTCAACGTTTTAGCTTTTTCATATTCCTTGACATGTCACGTTTAAATAGGTTGACTTGGGATATTTTTTTCGTGGTTTTTGTATTAGACCCGTCGTTCATTTATTTGTAAGTCAATGCTAAGCACCTAGAATTGAATAATTTTCTTTATAGCATTGTTAAAAGTGATAAAGATTAGTCACATTACATATCCTAATATTAGAATAGTAAGGGTCAGCGCAAACGTCCGCCGGTATTAAATTTATTTATATACATTAAATTTATCAATGTGTATTTGATGCCATTGTAATCGAAATAAGGGATAATTTCAATGCGCTAAGTTGTAGAGAGAAATGCCCTGCGATGCTCTGGAGTCGGTCTCCAATATTTGCCAAAATAAACCTATTCAAATTCTTATTAATTTTGGGACATATATGTTGGCAACTGGCTGTTTTCAATTCAAGCTCTTGTCAGACATCCCCACTCCTCTCATACATGTTTTGCTTAATACCGTATAACAATATAAACAGCGGCACATTCAGCGGAACCCTACTTAAATCCCCCAAACAATGCAGTGTTTATTTCAAATTTCTGGTCGGTTATTTAAATTGTAATTTTTTCATACATTTGTTTTAATTTCCTTCTAAAGGCTGCTTCCTACGGTACGTGGCCCGTTTCGCGCCCCGCGCCGCACGTTTCGCGCAAACGCGCCGTAGGTGGAGGGCCGTGGCGGCCTAATCGGATCCATCGGTGCTGATCAGTAACTTCAAAAGCGCGGCGTTAAAGGCGCGCGGCCTAAGCTCTTGACTACATACCCGAATACGCGCCGCCTCGCGCGTCGGCCCGAGGCCTTTCGGATTCGCCCATGCAAATCGGCGCGTTTGACATCAAGGGCCGTGGGATTTTGCGTTCTTGTAAATTTCGTAAACATTACTTGAAACAAATGTATTAATCTTTGATTAAAAAATTATTGAACTGTTGCAATTTTAAAATTTTCAGCTATTTCTACTTTGTCACAAATCTAAAAAAATATTTTATATTAATTTCGATTTTTTCTATAGAGGTTGAGAAAGTCGAATTTAATTTACTACTTTATGTCAAATTTTTATTCATTTAAATATAAACGTTACTGTTCTACATTCTCACTATTTTGTGTGTGTGTATTTATCTTTTAAAAACTACACATTTCACTTTCTCGTTACTACTGACGAGATCTAATTCCGACTTTTAAGGTATCTACGTAGTGCGTAAATCGAAGTTTACTCTCCAACCTACATTTATTGAGCGGCTGATTATACCAATGTCCATAAAAATGTCTAAAAACCGATTCGTAAATATTTGCTGTTATAGAAGTGCTGTAACTCAAAATATGGGAAATTCAAGATTATGCTATTACTGAACGTAAAATTTTAATCTCTACACATCAATACAACAAAAAAAGAAAGACAATTAAAAGATATCTTCTTAACTCAAAATGAGACAAACTTTTTGTGAGCTCGTTCCGGACAAAACAGTCCTTACTCAAAAATATGAAATTATTTTTTCCCTTTTACTTTTAAATATATTTGGCAAGTAGGTCATTGATAAGATGTCTGCAATAAACTTTAACGTATACATAAATTTTAATAATCTTTCACGGGAAGTTGGTAATTAGTTTTTCATAGATTCTGAAAAAAAAACTCTTTTTGAGTTAATACACTATTGCATCAACAGTGCGAATAATGATGATGTCCGTTTAGAGCAATGCTAAAAAAGGTTGAACTACGACAACAACGTTCATATTAAATGCTGGCCACATCGACAAGAACGTTTAATCGAAATAAAACATATTGAAGTCATTCTTTTTTCAAATTAAGTTCCAGTATACATGGCCAAGGGTTCGTAAGAACATTGTTACCATAATTCAACCTTTTTTGGCGTATTTCTATATTATGTCCACTAGTATATTTCTAACTACTTGCACCATTCTATTATATTGTATACATGCCAGTGTTAAAAATTCGAAGTTTAAAATATCTGAAATCAATTTTTGGTAGAATTTCTCTAAATCTTTTGAAGAATTTTTATTCTTTGTAGAGATTCTGTATTATTCATTAAATTTCTGTTTTGAAACAAAAATATTGCTCATTGATTTCAGAAAAGCGATAAAGAAAGAAATGCATTGTTCCAGTATATTGTCAGGACTCTTCAAGTTCGAACCAGTGAACATGAATCAAGGTCAGGAGGATGCCGTAATTGTGATCGACGCTAATAGCAAGTGCTATTAGCACCAATTATAATTACATCCACGAAGGATCTTCTCATTTATCCTCAAAATATGTTACTATCTAAGTATATGTCATTGTCGTCGTCAAAGTGTCGATTAGGCCCTTTTATCTTTTAACCGTCGATATCGTAATATCGCAGTTAAAGCCAAGTACTATCGTAACTCAAAATTTGATGAAATTGAAAAAACACGATTTTAAAAAGTTCGTAAGTAAGACAGTATTTAGTTTCAAGTGATAATATTATACAGTGTGCTTTTTTTTAATGGTGCAGTATGTAGAAAACCGAAACTATAGGAGATATAGGGAAACTTTCTAAGAAACCATTAAATCATTTTTGTGAAAACAATTTGGCATAGACAATTTTTTAGTCAAGCGTGGGTTGAAGTCAAAAGAATAAATCGATACAGCAGAAGTTGGTAAAATTTAATAAAATGGTTTCATAAAATGAATAAAAATGGCCTTTTGTAAAAGGCTGATCTTAATTAAAGTAACTCCGTTCAATTACACAATTTATTAAAAAATAAACGAACTTAACTTAATAAAATAAACAGTGGCCTAATACGAAATAATTAAAGACTTATAAATTAAAAACTTATAAATCTTATAATACATAGCTGTATCAGAATGAGCTATATTTTATTGTAATTAGCCACCGAGCTTACATTGGTTATAATCGTTTTGTGCGCTAGGTTCACCTTAGACCTTTTACCATTGTTCCTGATAAAGGCCTGATCAGATATACTACATCGCGCATATATGTGCGTGCTGAATATGCCTTAAGCCATCGGTGTATTGTGAATTTCCCATCAGGTTTATAGTACCATATTCCGCCATTTTCCATTTATATTACTTAATTAAACTTCTGATTAAAGTTTCTTTAGTACATAGTGAAGACCGTGCTGCTCAGGTTATGTCTCTTTCTACGGCCTTTCCGGGAAAATATAGGGTAGTTAGGTCCGTAATAATCCACTGCTAATAAAATACATTTACAGGTAACTTAATGAGAAAATTAACTGAAGTAATTCCGTTTTAGAACAACTACAAAATAAAATGTAGAAACTGTAATAGATTTGAAAAGTAAATGACGTGAGGTACAATTTTCAACAGTCATATTGCATTGTCTATCTATTCAGTGCACTTTTTTAATGGCATGTCTATATAAACGGTCATATTTTTTGATGATTGATCCACTTTTTCTGAGATAAAATAACAAAATAAATTAAATCGATCTATATTTTAGTCTGTTTTGAGCTACGCAAAAAATTTTCGATTTGTTGGGCCCCAAAACTAAGACAAATGAGCTTTAAAAATTTAGATACTGATTTTTAAAACTAAGTCAATGTCGATTATATGTATTTGTATACTAACATTATATTCATTATAATATGGTTTGACCTGAAAACATGTTCGGAATTGCAAGCAGGCTTCTGGTACTCGCCGGCCGCCGCCGCGCAACGTTCGCTTCACTCGCTCGGCCCGTGTTGCACATTTCTAATACTAACCTAGTCTACTGAATGAAGGGAAGAGATACTTACTGGCCAGTAATTAATGTCATCACTCGTCAAAAAAAGACCAATAATAAAAAAGAGGATCAAATATTGTTTTTGAATACCAAATTTTAATTTAGTATGTTTAAACATAATAATAGTGTTACCTTGAATGCAGTTCATAATTTATCCGTAGATCAACTAATGTAAATAAAACAATACATATATAAATATAATATATAAGTATAAAAAAATATATAAATATAAAAAAATATCGTTTACTTAAAAAGGTGCACATTTGCAATTGATTAATTATTTTTTTGAGGATTCAATTATTATCACGTTTTTGTAATAAAACATCATGTTTAACTTCTTAAGTTAATACAAAACACCGATAACAAGCATTTAGCACGTATATTTAATAACTAATCTCTAGAACCAGAGTAGATTTAGTTAGATATTACTGATAATTAATTCAGAAATTTGGCTGCGCGCGTGACAAACGCCCGAAAGCATCAACATCAAATGAGTGAGCAATGGTTTAATATTCAGATTTAAGAAGCAGTTGACATAATTCTAAAGTCAGCCGACTGAAGCACATAAGTCAAAAAAATAAACAAACAAAGTATGTTCTTCCGTGTTGTTTACAATGCATATGTAAAGAGAATGATAAATTCATGATAAATTTGAAAAAAAACGCCACTGGAGTTTCAAGTTGAAACACGTAAATTTGACGTAAATGGTTTAGTCGGTCGATGGATTAATTGAAATGAATGATGTTGGTTTTTAACTTACGTGCTTTCGTCTGTGGATCCCAAAATCTGAAGGAATCTTAACCCATTAAAAGTAAACTAAAACTAAGTAGTCGGCCTGAAAGCGCCTAAGTCGGGACCTCTGCTCCGGCTACATGCTAAAATGAGGGGCTCTTCGTTTTCGCTAGGACGGTCATGAAGTGTGAGAAATTGAACATTTTTTTAAATAAGACTTAGCGATGACATGAAATACTTCTACGGGTAATAATTTGTTTTTTGTTATCAACGAATGACACAATTATACCACACCAAGCGAAAATGGCGGACCGAGCTCAAGTAGGTCTTTCGAGACCTACTGTGGTCAGGCGTCAGACCTACTGTGGTCAGGCGTCAGACCTACTGTGGTCAGGCGTCAGACCTA